GGGCCCATCAGTGACCACAGCTTGACAGTAGCTTGGGAAGCCTTGGAGAGGCCAGGGATTGTCATTGTACTCACCCAGGGGATTTGGGGGTTAGAACTCATCCCACACTGGACTCTTGTGGTTGCCTTGTCTTCACTGGGAATTTTCTGAAAGCTCTGAGCTATGTCCCCAGAGCAGGACCTGCAGAAAGCCATCCATATCCTCAGTGATGCCCCCCGTGTTTCCAGTGCTGAGGCTCTTGGGAACTTTGTGCCCACCCCTGCTTCCCCCACCAGAGCCCCCAACAGAAGGGATAGGTGAGATTTCCAGCTCTACAGCTCCAAGCTTAGGGCATCTATTTATCTCATCAGCACAGGGCACTATGGGGGTGCAGGGGAGGTGCAGCACTGTCCAGGGGCCGTCTCTACCCTTTTTAAACTATTTAAGAATTCGGCTTTGTCCTTTTCTTTGGAAAGAACCCAGTGTGTGACATTCCTAGATAACACTGCTTTTTCACAATAAAGATGATCTTTCTGCATTTGGCGTCTCTTCCTTTCTAGCACTGCCCAGCGCGCTGCTCCAGACCACAGATTGGTGGGGCCAGCTTGGCTTCCCTGTCCAGCCCGTCTACCCCCAGCTTAAAGAAAGCACAAAGAACTGGAAAGGGTTTTGTTTGTTTTGTTTTTAGCAGAGTTCAGAGGAGAGCACATTTTAAAGGCAAATAAGGTTTTTATTTAAGTGACCACGTTTGAGAGTTAAAAACCAGCTCACATCAAAATCAAGACTTGTAAAAATCGTGTAACTCCATAGTGTTTGGTTTTTTTTTTTTTTTTTTTCCTTTTGTCTTGTTAGAAATCTGGTATTTTACATTTTCTTTTCTAACGGATTTTGTACAAGGCAGCCAACGGAATAGAAACCTTTTCACCACAGAACCATATCCCACCACAGACAATACTGAAAGCTGCACACTGGGGAACAGTCAGACCACGAACAAGGTCAGACTGGCTGCTACCACCAAGTAAACAAAGAAAAAAAAAAACGACTGGAGGGTCTGAGGGTCCCCACGAGCAAGCCGACCTCATCTACCCTGCCCAACCAGGTGCCACCTGCCTCTTGTTATCCCAGCAAGGAGAAAGTCAAAATCTGCCTCTCCTCCCAAACACCATGTTGGTTTCTCAGCAAAACCAAACCCATTGCTGTGGAGTTGATTCCAATTCTCGGCAACCCCCTGTGTTACAGAGTAGAACTGCCCCATAGGGTTTTCTTGCCTGTAATCTTTACAGAAGCAGATTGCCAGGCCTTTTGAGGTGCCCCTGGGTGGGTATGAACCGCCAACCTTTAGGGTAGTGGAGCACAAAACCGTTTGTGCCTCCCAGGGACCTTGTTTCTTAGCAAGAAGATCAGAACCTGGATGAGGCCTCACTTCTTGGACTTAACCCTAAGTATAATTTTAAGAAAGTTACCCCAAGACCCCAGGGAAAGGAAGGAAAGAGTGTTTCCTTTGGCTGAGCCAAAGAGAGTAAGTTTCCAAAGCACTTGGCACCCAAAAGCCCCTGGATTCAGCGGGAAAGTTGGTTGTTAAGGCGGGGGGTCAGCTGCAGAGGCCCAGCAGGCTTCACAGCCAGGGCCGCCCCTCCCGGCTAGGGCAGCACCTGGACCGCATGGGACAGTGGATGGCGCCACCTCCCACCAACTGCTACCTGCCTGGGGTCTGGGTGTCATTTAAAGATCAGTGCCGTGCCGTGCCATTTTTTTGTCTGCAGGACACTTCCTGGGCACAGGCCTGGGCTCCAAGTGGTAAAAGTAGTTTAAAAACCACTAAATCCAACCTCCATTTTGAGAGAGGGCCACTCCCCAGTAATCTCTGGATTGTTGCCACGGTATCAGTTTCCACTCCTGGTGATTCCATGGGATGGAGTTGAACTGCCCCATAGGGTAGTCTAGGCCGTAATCTTTAAGGAAGCGTATCACCAGGTCCTCTCGCAGAGCCACTGTGGGGGTTCAAACCATCCACCTCTCAGCTGAGTGCATACCCATTCACCATGAGGGCCCTTTATCTCTGGACTACGGAGGCTCAAAGATGTCAGCACCCAGGTGATGGGGGGAGGGGAGTATTCATCCAGATGCATGAAAGGGGGCTACTTTTTTTTTTCTTAATATTTGGCAGAGCCTAGAGGAGTTGAGATCTTTAGAAGAAAAGCAATGATGCCAGAAGAACAGGCCCTGGCTAAGGACACACCTTGAACCCCAACAGGGCAAATGGTGAGAGGGAGGCGGCAGGTAGTCCCTGGATCAGGGCAGCCCACCAGATCAGGAAGGACGAACATGCCACGCAAGAAACAAGGAGCTTTGGTGAGGCGGGAAGAGCTGTTTTCCAGCGGCTGGGAGCAGGCACACCAGGAGCTGGAAGGATTCTCTAGAAAACAGTCAGATTGGGGTTCACAGAACTACTCAGGGAGGGGCAGTGCACCCCCTCTGAAGAACAATACGACTGGGTTCTTTTTTTTCCAACTTAACAGAATGACAAAGTTAAACAAACCACTAGTATAGAAAGTGCATTATCGGTTACATAGTTGCCGTGAAAGCAGTACTGAACGTAAGTGATCTGAGTCTCTTTACTGTACAGAAACGCACATACACACATTCACACACACCAACTACAGTTCTGAGGGTGTTGTGTTTACAAGACCCCACTGGACACCATCAGCATCTTGGCTGTGGTTGTCCAAGCCCCAATCGGGGACTCCAAAAAGGGAGGAGTGGTGGCCCTCCCACTGTGTCCTGTATCCCAGCTCCAACCCCCGGAACCACAGAACCCTATTTATTCTGCCTCCAAATTCCCCAGGATCCAGGCATTACCTCTTGCTCCTCTCCTAGGGTCCTCAGAAAGGGGAGATGGGAAGTAACGGGGGGGCAAAGTGTCTCATGCCAGTGATGCTACCATTTGAGAGTATTAAATATATCACCAGTGTCTGCAAAGAGGTGGAGCTGCAGAGACTCGGGCTAAATCTGCCCAAGTTTAATCCAGGGTACTTCTTCTGGGCATGGGAAGGGTTAGGGTTGAGGTGGCTCTGCCACACAGGCGGATGCCTTATGGAGAGCCAAGAAGATGAAATGTTAAAGGGGAAGGGAGTGGGTGAGCTGGCACGTGTGAACCACCAGGAGGCAGGCCCAGAGAGGAAGGAGGCTGGCCCACACCCCTCCCCAGCAGGCTTCCCGGCCACTCTGGGCTGGATGCGGGATGCAGTGCTGAAAGTGGAGCAGAGCTGGCAGACAGGCTGGGCCAATGGGGCAGGAGCTGGCAGACTGAAGAAGACATTTCTAGTGGTGAGAGCCCAGGGACCGGGGCTGCAAGCCCAGCCCCCTCCAGCCCCACAGGGCGCCCAGGTGCCCAGCCACCCCCACCAGCAGCAGCCTTCATGGGGAACATCCACTGCATGGGAGTTGTGCGAGGTAGACATTGAGCAGAAGCAACACTGAGCGGACACAGGTGCCTGCTGTGCATACAGACATCTGGGGGCGCCTGGCCCCAGCACAGAGCCCTGGCTGAAAGAGCTGGGACTAGCCTCAGTGATAGCCCACAGGGCTCAGAGGCAACCCCCAGGAGCCCCCCACAGCGGGTGTGAGCCCAGGCTAGGGAGCAAGGGAGAGGTGTGGAAGCCAACACCTCACCTCAGCAGCAGGAGGGACCAGGTAGGCCCCAAGGGACCCCAGAAGGGCCAAGCCCTGCCAACCTCAGGGAACCACCCAGGAGAAGTCATGGACACAAACCAAGCTGAGTGGCAGGGGAAAAGGGAAGAGAAGACAACAGTTTGTGCCAAAAGTCACATGAATTCCCAAGAGCCTGGAGGCTCAGCTCTGCATAGGCCTGCCGGGGGCCGGGAGGGAGAAGCCCGTCCGAGCAGAGCTGGGGGAGGCGGAGCCAGATCAATACCTTCTGGGGGTGTCTCTGTCCCTGGGACACCCAGTCCAGGCATCAGTGCCAGCAAACATACAAACTAGGGCTCTCCAAGAAGCAGGGACCCCTCCCAGAGTGGCTTCCTTTGAGGAGGCGGGACCACAGCTCCTCCCTCCTGACCCACCCAGAAACCCTCTCCCAGGCTGTGTGGAAGGGGTGGCTCACTGACCCATCCCAGGAACGCCCCAGAGGGCAGAAGTCAGGCTAACAAAGCCTAAGGGTCAAAACCTCGCACTAGTCTCAGCTGGGAGAGGGCCTCCAATGACAGAGAAAGGCAGGCCCCTGAGGGCAGGCAGCAAACCAAAGGCCCACTGCCAGCCCTGCTGGGCCAGGACCTACTGCTGCAGCCTCACGGGGGAGGGCTCCGCGGGGAGGGATGCATGTCCTCCAGGACCACGGAACAATGGTGAGAAGACCCAGGCAGAGACCGGAACAATGGACAGCGGCAGGAGGACAGACCATCAGCACCAGACCCCGGGCCGAGGGCCATGGAGACACTGCGGGCATGAGGATGAGCCAGGGGACACCCTCTCACGCCCAAATAGTGGCCTCTTTGCCACAGAAGAGTCAGACCCGAGACGGTGACCCACGATGGCACAGGGGGATGGGCACAAATGCCACTCACCCTTCACTCGAGACAGCAAAGCTGTGCCTGCGGAGTGCCTGGACCATCGATTGCTAGGTCTGGGCGCGGCTCCCTGTAGGGCCTGCCCTGCCTTCCTGCCCAAGCCTCAGGGGCTCACAAAGACGGCTGATTTTGCTCAAATACTCCAGCTCGGGCAGGTCTGACCCCTGGATGCCACAAACAGCCCTGGTTTGTGCTTGCGGTCGCAGGCATGGGGCGGGGGGCAGCAGTGACTGCACTGCGACCCCTGGGTGTCACCCCTCACAGCCCAGGGAGCCCCCTAAAGCCAGGCACGGTCCCCGCCCCCTCTGGTCGGACACTGCTGGACAGACACGGGAGGAAAAAAGCAGGAAAACGCCTGTGTCAGGGAGAAGGCGGCCTCCTCCCTTTCCCGCAGGCAGCCTGGTGCGCCCCCTTGCTCTGAGCACCGCTCACCCCTCAGGGCACCGACTCGAACTTGGGGGGCCCACGCGCCCAACTGAGCGCCGGCAGGGGCCGCTCGTGGTCCTTGTCAGACTCGGGCTGGCTCTGCGCCCGCTCGGGCTTGGGGTTGGTGATGGGCGGGTCCGGCTGCTGCACCGACATGGTCCTGCGCAGGTGGTTGCGCTTCCGCAGGAACTCGGGCTGCGCGTGGAGCCCGAAGCTGCCCTTGCGCAGGATCATGCGCGAGTTGTTCTTCTTGGGGCGCGAGCGGTGGCTGGTCTCCAGCGCGGCCAGGTGTGCAGCGTAGCCCTCGCTCAGGAACTGCGGAAGGGACAGACATCAGGCCAGCGGCTAGGACAGGATCCCTGGGGCTGCCCATCCGCCATCTCTATGTCCCCAGAACCCCCTACCGTGCTCCAGCTCCGAAGATGAAGGGAGCTTGTTATTGTCCAAGGCTCCCCCCTGGTGCTTTACAACAGAGCCCCGTACCCTGGGTTCCCACCAGAGGAGAGGCGCATCTACGGAAAATAGAGCCTATGGCAAGTGCACACGCATGCGCGCGCGCGCGCGCACACACACACACACACACAGCTTCCTGCAGCACTTAAATGCCGACCCGCAGAAATCCACGTTTGTGGGTCCTCTCTGCTGGGCTCCAGAGCGCACACAGCCTACCGTCTGCTAACCCTCCACTCCCTCTCAGGCAGCTGGTATTCAACACTTTTGAAATGGAGTTCATCACCTTCTCCTTGGTGTGCTCCTTTCCCACCCCACTTCTCAGCCACCACAATGTCACCTACCCCGTCCCCCAACCCAGAAACCAGGGTGCCGTCCTTGGCCTCCCCATTTCTTCAGATTCACCTTCCACCAGCAGCCAGAGGGATCCTTCTGGATCACAAACCCCATCGTGTCCATTCCCATCACTCATCCCAACTACTTAGAGGACCAAGCAAGTCTCAACTCAGCAAGGCCTCCTGGCAGCTCGTGGTACACTCTCGCTCTCTGCTTCCTCCTACATCATATCCACCAGGCTGAGTCAGTGCAGGCCCCAGAACATGCTGTTCTCTGCCACCTCCTGACCTCTGCTCTTACTGCTGCCTCTGCCACAAATACTCCTCCCAACGGCTCATCCAACTCCTTCAAACTCCTGAGAGTCAACCTTGCCCCTAGTCCAGGTTAGCTGTCCCACCTTGGGTCCCACAGTTCTCTGTGCCCCTCACCATGCATCATGGCCCTTGTTACACTGTATTGTCATTATCTGTGATTCTTCTTGTCTCTCCTACGAGCTGGCTGATGTTACATCTAACTCCACTTGGGATCCTCCCCTGTACCCAACAATGGGTCTGCCAATGAAGGTGCCTAGTAGTGTTTATGGAATGAATGAATGAATTAGCAAATGAAGGAATGAACAAATGTATGACTGCATTAACAAGCAAACAAATGAACAGCCTACTCCTCTATTCTCTGGCCCATACCTCCCAGCCCTGACCTTCACCCACCTGGCACTGGTTTTGGTACTTCTTGGTGGCCCGGCCCACAATGAAGATCTGGGAGGGTGGCAGGCCCAGCACGCTGTAGACGGAGATGTCCTTCGTAGAGCCATAGGCCGCACTGATCTTGATGAAACACTGAAAGGCAGGGCAGCTCTTGGAGGGGCCCAGGCCCAGCTGATCTCCTCCAGGAGGCCTCCTAGACCATGTCCTGCTTGAGGGCCCTTTATCTGTACTCTGTTACCCACCAAGCCCCAAGTCCACCCTCTCAGCTCCCACAATGGCTCCCTCTCTGCCCCATCCCACACCCAGACCTGACAAGGTCTCCTTGTGTCAATCACAACCGCTCCCACTCACTGACCCCACCTGGGGCAGCATGATCCCAGCAGTTATACAATGACCTAGCAAAGCATGCCTGGGCAGGGTCCATGGTGTACACACCTCACGTATCACAGAGCCAGGGCTGGAGTTCAGTTCTGTCTGCCCCTAGCCCTGGGCTTACCATCTGGGAGCTGCCTGGAGCCACCTGGTGTGATGTCCCCCCCAGAAGCCCATGCTAGTACTGAGAACGACCAAGATCCTCCTCACGCTGGTGTCACATCCAGATCCTCACCCTTCCCCCTGGGATGAGGCCCCTTCCTCCTTCAGGTGCTCACCATCTAGCTGCTCCTCACCTTGTGTCTCATCAATGTCATCACCCTCCCCCCAAATTCACTGGAGGCTGTTGGTCCTAAGTCCTAGTTGTCCTTCCTCCTAAGCCCTCCCTCCCCAGGAAGACAACCCACGTACCACCTCATCTCTCAGCTCCTTGCCTTCTTTAGCATCAATGGCCATCACCTCCAGGACAGAACACATCCTCTGAACCCCGAATCGCCACATTCCCACTCTAACCACCTCTCTTGCCATGTTCATCTCTGGCTATTCTCTCCCCCTCTGACTGCCCCTCAGCCTTGTGGGGACCTGCATTTTCTTGGGCATCTGGATCATGGGTGTTTTCTCTACCCCAAATCCTGCCATCATCTCATGTGATAGCAACAACCACCCAGATGACTCCCATCACTCTCCAACTTCTCTCCTCCTTGCCTTGCACCAGCCCCACTTCCACACCGTCTTCGGTCTTCCTCATCCTGCCTGGGCTCCCTGAGGTACGCTGTGTTCTCTGGTTTCCACCCTGGATTCTCTGGCCCTAATCTCCTCTCCCCACTCCTTCCTTCTCATCATTCTCCTTCTCATTTCTGTACCCTGGCCATCGAGAGCTGCTGAAGAAACACAGAGTCACATAGTCTTGCCCTACATGTTCTTTCTATTCTCCAAAAAATGTTTTCTGATTTTTTACCTCCCTCCCTAGGCACCTACCCAGTCCTGCAGGTCACTTTGCCTTTGATGTCAAACCACGGAGCAGACTTTCTGTGGCCTTCCTCAACACTTTGCCCCTCACCTCATTGGTTGGTTTGTTCCCAACCAGCTTTAGTCTTAGAGGAAGCAGCAGCCCCTTTGTCCCTTCCTGCTTCCTCAGGCACCCCAGCTCACTCTGCAATGTCCGCTGGCCCTTTCCAATGACTCTGCCTCCCACCCTCAAGACTCTCCAAGGTGAGCCCCCTTGGCCCTCTGAGGTGTCCCTTCCTCACTGAGAGCATTAGCAACCAATCTTCATCCAGCAGACATTCTCACTTGCCTACACCTCTTCCCACAGACACTCTCTCCTTCTTGGAACTCTCCTCCCCTGATATCTAAGCTGCTTCTCTCTCCCATTCATTCATTCATTCATTCTTGTTGTTGTTAGTCACCCTTGAGTGTATTCCGATTCATAGTGATCCCACATATTGCAGAGTAGAACTGCCCCATTAGGTTTTCTTGGCTGTAATTTATGGAAGCAGTTCACCAGGCTTTTCTTCCATGGTACAAATGGGTACATTCAAACCACCAGCCCTTAGGTGAGCAATCAAGCTTAAACCATTTATGCCACTGAGGGACCTTTTATTCAATCTACTAACATTTATTGAGTGCCTACTGTGTGCCATCACTACCCCTAATGCCAGAGATATAGTAGTGAGTAAAACAGAGGACATAAGCGTCTGCCCAAGAAGTCCATAGTCAGGTGAGTGGCACCTCAGTCCTCCTTGTTACTCAAGATGGACATCAGAGAGCTCCTCCCTCCCTTCATCTGACCATCACTGAGTCCTACCAATTCTACCTCCTCATTATATCTCCATCCCCATTGACACCATCTGGATTCTCATCTTCTGGCCTCTTGCCTGAGCAGCAGCCTCTTCACTGGCCTCGCTGCCTCTCATCACTCCTTCCGATCTGTCCTTCACACAGCAGCCTTCAAGATCTTTCTAAAAACCCAATCAGACACTGCCACTCCTCTGCTTTAAGCTCTTGGCCATTGCCCTTGGCCTGGTTTCCAAAGTTTCAAGGCCTGCCAACCTTGGGCCCCTGATGACCTCTGGGGCTTCAGCTCCTACTTCTCCTGCGTTTGACCCTGCACATCCCCCCTATCCTGGAGGCCTGCAGCTCTGAAAAGATCCCAGGCTCTTCCCTGCCTCTGTGCCTTTTGCACACACTGTGTCTTTGTCCACATGACAAACTCATACACACATTTGAAGACTCAGCTGATAAATTACCACCTCCTGGAAGCTTTTCCTGGTCTTGCAGGCAAAGCGAAATCCTTTCTCCTCTGTTCACCAATGGAGCAATGGAGTCTTTTTCATTTACAGTAAAGATCACACACCAAAAAATTGTCAGTTTACATGTCCTTCTTCCTCTAGATCAGAGACTGGCAAACTTTTCAGATTTTGCCTTCTGCTCCAACTCCTCAACTGTCCACTGCAGTGAAAAAGCAGCCATAGACAACACCCATCCAAACGTGCATGGCCTTGTTCCAATAGAGCATTATTTATGGACACTGACATTTAAATTTCAAATAGTTTTCACATGCCATGAAATATCATCCTTCTTTTTGTCCCCCCCTGCCCCAATCATTTAAAAGTGTGCAAGCCAGTCTTAGCTCACAGGCCATATAAAACCACCATGGAGAATCACCATTGCCCTCCAGACCGGGGGCAGCCTTCAACTCATGGGCTAAAGTGTGTCAACCCCTGCTCTAGACAAGTGGTTCCCAAAATTTTGTGTTCATTGGAACCCTCTGGGGGGTTTATTAAAATAGCTTGCTGGGCCTCCTGTATAGAGTTCCTGAATCAGTAAGTCTGGGATAGAGCCAGAGAACTTGCATTTCCACCAAGTTTCCAGGTGATGCAGATGCTGCTGGTCCAAGGCCCACACTAGGAGACCACTGTCTTAAACCGTAAGTTGTGGAGAACATGCTCTGTGTCCTGTCTGTCTTTGTGTAGCCCTGACACCACACAGGGTAGGGAATACTATGATGTTTTGTTGTTAGCTGCCAGCAAGTTGGCATCTGACTCATGAAATGCTACTGGGCCTGATCCCAGCCCCACAATAAGTTGTATATTGGAGCATTGTGATCCACAGGGTATTCACTGGCTGATTTTTGGAAGTAGATGGCCAGGCCTTTCTTCCTGGTCTTAGTCTGGAAGCTCCGCTGACACCTGTTGAGCATCACAGCAACATACAAGCCTCCACCGACAGATGCATGAGGTGCATTGGCCAGGGATCAAATATGGTTTCCTGCATAGAAGGTGAGAGTTCTACCACTGAACCACACCTTTGCTCTCCTAGGACATAATAGGCACTTAATAAATGTCTATTGAATGAGTAACCAGATGTAGGGACTAGTGTTTAGGCTTTTGGGTTGGGAGATACTGGGCAAGTCACTGTACCTCAATAGGATCATCTGACAATGAGGGCAAAAATACCTACCTTGCAACCAACTAACCAACCAACCAGTTACCATGGAGTCATCTCCAACTCATGGCAACCCATGTGTGTCAGAGCATAGCTGTACTTCACAGGGTTTCAGTAACTGATCTTTTTGAAAGCAGATCACCAGACTTTCTATCAAGGTACCTCTAGAACTGCCAACCTTTTGGTTGGCAGCAGAGAGGTTAACCATTTGCATCTAAGGATGCCACCTATCTCATTGGGCTCTTAAAAGGACAGTATGAGAACCATGTAATGGGGCTGCCCCAAGGCACAGCAGCCTGAGGTTGCAGGATAAATAAGCCAAGCCCCACAGGGACTAGGAGAGGAAGGCAAGTGTTTGAGGGCCCTACATTCTCAGGTTGGGTCTCCTCTCTACCCTCACTGGGTAAGGGCAGGCCACGCAGGCCCCGCCTTATTGGGTGTAGCCGAGTCCCCGCCCCTCTTGGCACTCACCTCCCGCACGAGGTTGCGGAGGAAGATGGCCTTCTGCCGCAGTGGATCGTGCACCAGCCCATCAGAGAAGAAGATCATGCCCTGGGGGAAGTTGTGCTGGGACAGCCACGATACCACCCGCTGCTTCTGCATGTCCGGGCGCCCAGTGATGTAGAGGATCATGTAGCCCAGGTCCTGCCAGTGCCTGAGATGACATTGTAGGGTTCGGTCCCTCCCAGCCCGTGCCAGCCGACCAATGCCCCACAGCGTACCCAGCCACTGCATTCCTGAGAAACCAGAAGGGCTGTTCCATGGAGTACTGGGAGGGACATGGGGGACCCCACATCTACACTCTGGCTCAGCTTGTCACATACCCCCAACAACAACCCTCCCCACTCCTGCCCCCTCTATTTCTTTACCCTTCTTGGTGACACTACTACCAGGTGGAAGCCACAAGCCTTATGACCCAGACTTGGAGCCACATGGTGTCCTTTCCACTGCATTCTATTGGTCACAAGTGAAAAAAGGAAGGGACCACACAAACACATGAGTACTGTAACCACTACTTATTGGTGAGCTCTGTTTGGATACTGGCTAACACACAGTCTTAACTGAAAGACGGTAGCCAGAGCAGAGAGCTATTAATGTTGATTGGGGGAAGCAGAGCAGGCTTTCTGGGAGGGATAGCATTTGAGATAACCCTTGAAGGATGGAAAAAAATTGGGGGTTTTGTTTTGTTTTGCTTTTTATGAAAACTAAGTATATGTTTTTTTTCTTTTACAAAAGCAATACATGTCAATATGAAGGATTAGCAAAAAGAAGAAAATGAGAAACAGATTTTGCTAGGCCAAGAAGAAGGGCACAGACTGTCAAGGACTGAGGAACAGAGAACAGACACCAGGCCCAGGGAGCATTTAGATGACCACCATCTGACTGTAATTGCTTGAAATCCTGTTGTGAATTGAACTGTGTCCAAAAAAATGTGTGTTGTAAATCCTAATCTCCATGACTGTGGCTATAATCACATTTGGGAATGAGTTGTCTTTGTTATGTTAATGAGGCAGGGTTAGTGTGGGGTATGTCTTGAGTCAATCTCTTTTGAGATATAAAAGAGATGAAACAAGCAAGAGAGAAAGCAAAGACAGCAGAAGAGGGATGCCAGGCCATGTGAATATCATCCAGGAGCAGACACTCAAAGAGACAAGGACGTTCTTCCAGAGTCAAAAGAGAGAAGAAGCCTTCCCTAGAGCCAGCACTTTGATTTCGGACTTCTAGCCTCCTAAATTGTAAGGAAAAAAAAATTCTCTTTGTAAAAGCCATCCATTTGTGGCATTTCTGTTATAGCAGCACTCAATATCTAAGACAGAATTTGGTACCGAGAGTGGGGTGGCGCTTTAACAGATACCTAAAATGGAAGTGGTTTTGGGTAATGGGTAATAGCTAGAGGCTGGGAAGGTTTTAAGGTGACTAATAGTAAAAGCCCAGATTACCTCGAAGGGTCTGCAAAGGCAGTGCTCATGAGGACTCAGAAGCATGTGAGGAGAGCTACAGACAAAGTCTCTCTCATCTTAGAGAATGCATATGGCACCAGGAACAGAACTTTGCTAGAAATATAGACATTAAATGTGCTTCTGGTGAGCCCTCGAAATGATGTGGACATTTATACTGGTAAGTACACTCCTTAGAATGACCAATAGGAGATCAGAAGAGCAGTGTTTGCACAGGGACATAGCTGAGAGGGCAGGAAGAGGAAAGAAGGACACAAGGAAAAGGTAATCACAGGGAGGAAGTGAGAAGAGAGCTATTATAATATGGGAATTGTAGTCAATGTCATGAAACAAATGTGTATGAACTATTGTACAGAAAATGAATTTATTCTACAAGCTTTCACCCAAATCACAATTAAAAAAAAAAAAAAAGATGACCATACGATTGGACAGTGGAAGAAGGGCATTTTAATGCAGTGGCAAAAACTTTGTCTGACTTATGTTCAAGTATTGGATGGAAGGTAGAACTTGTAAGTGATGAACCTGTATATTTGGCTGAAGAGATTTCTAAGCAAGATCTTAAAAGGGCCATATGGTTTCTCCTTTCCACATATAGTAAAATGCAAGGGGAAAGAGATGGACTTAAAAATGTGCTATGCAAAATGAAAACTTCACTTGAAGAATTCTGTTGTGTAAACGAAACACAGATGTCTCAGAATGTTCACCAAGGATGTGGCTACACAATCATTTATTAAGGAGATTAACCCTATGACTGCTGGAGCTAACCAACGACCACAGCAGAAACTCATCAGCTTAGACTGAAGGAGACAGAGAAAGGCTGAAAGGAGAGAACACTATCGGCCTCTTGGAATTCTACAAACAGGAAATAGACCAAAGGAGCTACATCTGTTGTCTTCCATGAAAAGAACCATCCCTGGGGCAGCCTGAGATCAGCAGAACTGCCTCTGTTTCAAAGGACAGAGCTGCAGCCTCCTAGGTTTCAGAGTTAGATCTTCACCAACTCAGTTCCCAATTGTGGGACTGCCATTCATTTGGGACAAGAGGATGGGGCAAACCTGAAGGGGCAGGGCTGCCATGCCCATGGACAGAAGAATGGGGCCTGCCAGGGCCAAGGGGGTGTTTAGCCACTCAGCTGAACAAACAAGTAAAGGAACTGAGATCCAGAAAGGGGAGGGATTTTCCCAAGGACTCTCAGTAAATTACTATTGGAAGTGAAGCCAGGAATTCCCAGCTCCTAGCCTGGGAGGCTAATGGAATTCCTAGAGGAAACCAGAAGAACCATGGCCCATTTTCTCCAGGGTGGTTGGCTCCCGACCCCCAGGGGAAACATGTCCCTCACAGGGAGGTAGCACTCACCGGACAACATCCACTGCACCTGGCCGAACCTTGGGATCACTTCCCATGATCGACACACTGGCCGCGAAGGACCCATCAATGCTGAATACAACACACTCCATGCCACGGGGCAGCACCGTGAGGTAGCTCATCGCATAGGTCTGGTCACCTCTGAAAGGCACCTGTGGTCAGCTGTGCAGTCAGGGCCAATGCTTATGCTTAGCCTGAGGCTGGAGGTTAGCTTGTGGCAAGAGCCAGGGCTCAGTCTGGGGTCAGGGTCAGAGAGAACCTGGTGCCAGAGCAGTGACCTTGGCTGTCTTCCTTTCTCCATGCAGACAGGAGTAGGGTCCCAAAGGGCTTGGGCAAGCCTGGTGGGAAGGGCCGTGGAGATGGTGAACCCACCATGAGAACATCTCCCAGGTCTCACCTGACGACCATCTTCACTGGGTAGACTCCAACCCCTAGGCGCCGGGGCCGCGGCACGCTGTACATGATTCGACCACTGCTGTTGGTGATCTCTGTGTCCAGGTGCACCCAGCGGCCTGAGGATGGCTCTGCCATCACCAGGATATCCACCTGCAGGCAGTGAAGGGGGCAGGGGACTCACTGAAGGTTATGGAGGGCTGCAGACTGGTGCAGGGGCTGGGTGGGGGGTTGTGGGCTGGTGCAGGGGCTGGGCAGGGTTGCTCCCTGCACAGCACAGCAGACCTGGGGTCAGGCTTCTGCCCAAGGGTATTTCCTAGCTCTGTGCCCTTACTTCTTCTCGCTGTTCCCTCTGCCTTTCACCCTCCTCATCATCCACACCCCATCAATTCCCTTGATGGAAACTCTTCACCAGCTTCCTATCTCACATGTAGTTACCATGCCCCCCAAGGCCCTAGAAAACCTCTCCCACCTTCCTCCCACCATCCTATCCTCCCTGTTTCTCTCTCTGCACCAACCACCAGTTACCCAGTTGTTATCAAGTCAGTTCCAGCTCACAGCGACCCCACATGGGTCAGAGTAGAACCGCATTCTAGAGAATTTTTAATGGCTGATCTTTCAGAAGTCGATCACCAGGCCTTTCTTCCAAGTGCCTCTTGGTGGACTCCAATCTCGAACCTTTTGGTTAACAGCCAAGGGCTTAACTGTTTGTACTACCCAAGGACTCCAGCCACACTCCTCAGACACACCAAGCTCATCCTTACTCTGTGCTCATCCTCCCTGACCTCCCTGGGCAGCTAGTGGCTCCCAGCTCTGAGCTCCCCACACACAGCACCACTCCTGCAGCCCTCAATCCGCCTGTGTGCCACTTGGTACCACGTGGTACTTGGGGCCAGGTCGGGCCAGCTGAGGAGCAGAGGCACCAGCCCACAGTACCTTCTCTCCAGTCAGAGCAACCATGTCCAGGGGCCCGTACATGAACCGCCCCACCAGAACCTGGGGGCCGTCTTCAGCAGCAATCACGTCATTGGCTCGGTGGTTAGCAGTGACATTCTGAAAGGAAAGCAAGAAACCAGCTTAGCCTCTGCAAGCTAGACTTGACCTTGCATTCTACCCTGGATTGTCCTTAGAACTGGCCAATATGGGTATGGACCTACTGAATCGTGTTTTCTTCTTAGCTTCTGTTGGAACTCATGAGAAAAAAGACCACAAGACCCCTAATGGTGTCTTCAAGGAGCACAAAGTTTTCCGTAAATGCACATTCTCTGCTTTTATTTCTCTCACACAATCCCTGAGATTATAATCAGTCCTTCCAACCTGTCACCTGTCCACATTCCTAGACCAGAAACAATTGTGTCCCCTCTGGTCACATCACAGGTCACACCCAAAGGCCATATACCATACATCTTTTTTAGTGGGAAACTTCTAAAATATATGAAGATAGAGAGAACAGTATAAGGAACCCTGTGTACCCATTACCAGCATCACCATGTGTCAACACATGACCATTCTGGTTTTAGTCTAGTCCCCAAGCACCCCACCCACTCTGGGTTATTTTAAAGCAACCCTGACGTCACATCATTTTATCTGTATCCATGTCAACATTCCCATATGTCTTCACTGCTGGTTTCAATTCATTCCACAGCTCAAAGGCCTGTGAGGGCCTCTACCACCTACCACATCCAGCATGGCCTTCAAGACCAAAGTCACTTAATCTGGTCACCCTTCCATGACAATTTCACTTTGGTATCTCATTCCAGACCTGCCTGCATTACCTCTCAACCAGACCCTGCTAATAGCTTCCAAGTGGAGCACCATATTCAAAAATTGGCCCCAAATTTGGAAATGGATAATGGTGATGGTTGCCCAGCATGGTGGATGTCATTCATGTCATTGAATTGTGCTACTTGAAATTTGTTAAAATGGAAAAATTTGGGTTATACAGGTAATCCCTGACTTAGGACATACTCAAGGTATGATGAACCACACTTAGAACTGCCCATTGTTTTTTATGATTTGTGTACTTGTATGGACGTATGTATTAAAATGTATCTATAAATTTATATGTAATGTTTCTAGCCCCAAAAGACAAATAAAGGTTAGATTTATAAAGATATTCATAATAAAAGGCAGTCATAATGAAAACTAAAAAAAAATGAGGTATTTGACTTAGGTCCAAAGCTACTTACAATGGAGTTTCTGGAATAGAGCCCTGTCATAAGTCGGAAACTACCTGTATATATTTCACCACAATAAAATAAAACAGCAGACACACCATCTTCATAAAGCACAAATCTGTTCAAATGCTTCCAGATTCCTCACTGCCCTCAGGCACAAGTCCAAATCCTGAGCTCAGTGTTCAAAGCCTTGTCCAAGCTACCCTCCTGTGGTTCTTCCATGCCTTTGACCACTCTGGTCCCCCCACTCTCTGTGCCTTCCCTGGCTCTCTGGCCCCCCACATTCCAGCCCATGTGGATGCCCCACCCCCAGGGCGGCCCCTCGTACCCGCAGCTTGACCTGGGTTCTCTTTCGAAGCCACTTCTCACGGGGGTTGGTCGGGCTCAGAGCTGCAGGGTCGAGGCCAGTGCTCTCCTTGACACTCACACTCTCATAGCGCATCACCTGATAAGCAGCCATCGGGTGCCTGGTCAGGACCTCTGACCCCTGTCCCGCCCTCCCAGGGTGTTAGGGATGACCAGCTTGTCACCAGCAGGCCCTCCTCCCAGCCTCTCCACCTCCCAGCCTAGAACCCTCAAGAGCCTGGGGACCCCAAAGCTCATCTCCCTACCATCCTGCCCTGATCTCAAATGGTGCTGCTCAAACCCACCTCTGTCCTCCACTCCCAGGCCCGGCACCTTCCTGAACCTGTTTCCCTTCTCTGCCTCCCTGCTAGGCCGATGGCTGACCTGCCTCTGGAAGTTCCTGTGGAAGGTCAGCGGGAGCCCTGGAGCACCAGCTGTCTCACCCACCCGAGATGTTGCTTCGGCAATTCTTCCCTCTCCATCCCACATCACTGACTAGTCCCTCCCTACTGGGCCCTTCCCTTAGGCATCAAAATATGCTGCAATATCACACATATTTCACAATTAAAAAATAAAAAATAGCATGTCTCCTTAAACCTCTAGTAAGATCCCTGGGTGGTGCAAACCATTGGGCTCATCTGGTAACTAAAAGGATGGCAGTTCAAACCCCAACAGCACCACTCAAGAAAAGGCCCAGTGACCTACTTCTATAAAGATGACAGCCCAGAAAACTCTATGGAGCAAACTTATTTCCATACTCTGTCTCCATTTCCTCACCTCATACTCTCTCCTCCACCCACTCCTATCACACTTCCGTCCCCATTGCTCCACTGAGGCCATTCTTGCCAAGGCCCAAGGACTACTGTAGTGCCAGCTGCAGGGGTCCACTGCTGTCTAGCCCCTGACTCTGAGAGATGCCCCTCTTCAGCCTCCTCTGTGTGGCCCTTCATCTTCCCTGGGAAGCTCCAGGACTCACCCCTGACCTTGTAACTTTCTTGGTATCATACTCATCACCAGTTTTAAATGCTATCCAAACTCTGGTGATTCAACATTTTACCTCTAATCTTGACCTCCCCCAAGCTCCACACGAAATAATAGCCACCTTCCTACCCAACATCTAATAGGCATCTCACACCACATACATCCCAAAGCCAAGACCTGTTTTCCCCTACTCCACCCCAGCCAAGCTTTTCTCCATCCCAGGGGGTGGCATCTCCAGTTACTCAAGCAAAGAGCAGGACTTGTTGGACCCCCCTCATGTCCTCATGCCCCAGGTTATCAGCAAGTCCTACCACCATGACTCAAATCTAGCCACTTCTCAGCAATCCACCACCAGTGTCCTAGTGCAAGTCATTGTCACTAAGTTGGGCTCCTATGCTCACCTCATAACAGGCCTCATGCTTCTCTTACCCCCCGAACAGCTTTCCCAAGATTTCCTTCTAAATATACAAGTCAGCTGATATCTCTCCCTTGCTCAGATCCCTACCATGGCTTCTCATTGAGCCCAGTATAAAATCAAGCCCCTTCCCTTGGCCAGGGAGGCTGTACATAATCTGACCCTCACCCCACCCTGACCTCTCCTACCAGGCTCTCCCTATTCACTAGTCTTCCTGCTATGCCGTTTATTTAATGGATGAGGAAACTGAGATTCAGATGGAAGTAGGAATCCATTGCTGGAGTCTCTAAGTTGAAACACTGGTACATTCTCCTGCTCTATTTCATTATCTAGGAAGAACCATGCCGTAAGCCACATGGCAATTAGTGTTCTTTATAAAATACATCGTTTGCCCATGTTACCACCCGCCTGTTCAAATGCTCCAGTCCCCTTCCATTGCTCTCAGGATAAAGAGCAAAATGCTCAGTCTGGCCTGCCTGGTACCCCCCTTCTCCAGATACAGGATGGAAGCCACCAGAGGGGCCCCAAGGCAGAGACAGCAAGGAGGTGGCATACCTGTCTCAAAATGAAGGCGACCACATCCGTGGACTCCCAATAGCTGGCATGGAAGAGGTGGGGCAGGGCCACAGTGGGGAAGGCAGTGAGGACATCAGGGCAGTACAGGGCGTAGTCGATCCTCTTGGTGCCCCACCACTTGGCCGTGACTGTGGGTCCGAGAGGGAGGTGAGAACAGTGGCCTGCCCAGGCCCTTGACTCAAGGGACAGTGTAGAAGCCCTGAAGTCCAGAGCCAGCAATGGGCATGACACGCAGGGCACAGGTTTGGAGGCCGGGGAGCCCTGCTTTCAATGACTCCCACTTTCTCACTACCTGCTAGCCCTTCTGCTGGCCCAGCCCTCCAGGAATGGGGATAGGACCCATAGGAACACCCACAGTCTTACCCAGGGCTGCAGTGATTCCCAGTGAGACACTGAATGTTGGGATTGGGGCTCTGTCTGAGCTCAGAACTCAGTCTGTGACTGAAGAGGTCAGAGCGTGGTCCATGGTCAGAGGTCAGGGCCCTGTCCAAGGTTGGAGGTCAGGGCTCTGTTTGAGATCAAAGCTCATTCTAGGACCAGGGTCAAAATTCAGGGCCCTTGTCCCGGTCCAGGGCCAGAGGTCAGGGCGCACTCTGAGATCAGAGCTCAGGCTAGAGACAGGATCAGGGTAAGGGCCCACTCTGTCCAGAGTTAGAATTCATGGCCTTGTCCAGGGTCAGAGATCAGAATTCTCTCTAAGGTCAGAGCTCAGCCTAGTGCCAGGATGAGGATTCAGTCTGATGCCAGGTCTCTACCCACAGACCTAGTGCTCCTTAAAGGCAAAAATGCCAACCAAGACTTCTTCCACCACCTCTACCACCACCACCACCACTTGCAGGTCAGTCTCAGCAGCCTTGCAGTGGACCCATGGCCACCTGGAAGGTCCTCCTCCCACAAGTCCAAGCAGGGCCCCCAAGAGCCTCACTCACTGCGGGAGACACCCACGGGTGCCAGGCTGTCCGAAGACCCCGAGCTCTCACTGTGGGAGCTGCCCTCACTCATCCTTCGCCCTGGGCGCTGGGACCTCAGGGCCTGCGGGGACGAGGCAGGGGCGTCCGGAAGGGGTGGGCTGCCCTGAGAGCTGCCCTCTAGGAAGAGGGAGCTGTGGGTGTGCAGGGTGTCAGCTGGAAGGGGAATTTCAAGGTCAGGACCAAGTGTCTCAACAGAGCTGCCCATTCATGCCTCACTCACGGGAGCCAGCCTGGCCCTGCTCATTCATCGGCCCAAAAGGGAACCTGCACATGCCCCTAACCCCCACTGGGGCCCAAGGGGACTCGTCAACCACAATACACTGTTGACTTTCACCTCCTCTCTGTCGTGAGTTATGCAGACCCAAGCCAGGGTATCAACCATCTCTCCCACCCCTCAACTGAGGATGCTCTAGGAGACTGACCCAAAAGCACCTGATGGGGCCACAGGGGTGACATCTAACCATGTCCTCTTTCATCACGCTCTTCCCTGAGCCACAAAGGACTGCCAGCTGAGCCTGGAAATGAATGGGGACTCCAGCCTCCAGCCCTGGAGCTAGGGTGCCCTTGGGAGGAAAGGGAGCCCCTTGTTCAAGGGGATACATTTTAGGATGAGGGATGGAGGTTTTAGATCCTCATCTACCTATAACAAAGCAAGGCTTTGGAAACTAAGTCTGCACTGAAATGGGGGTGGTGTTTAATGCTGAATTAGTCACACAGCAGTCCCCACCCATTTGGGGAAACCTCCTTGGCTGGGGGTCTGAAGGCTGAGGTGCTGGTTTTCACCTCCCTGACTGACCGGTATCTGCCTGGCTCAGCCCACTTGAGCCCCAGTGGCTACTGGCCCTTCCCCAAGCTCACCTGCCCTGCTACTGCTGTTCCCTCCCGGACCCCATCACCCATCTCTCTCCACTTGCCCAAATGCATCTTCCCAGTGTAGGCCTGGGTCAAAGGCCACCCATCCCAGGATGAAAGCTCCCTGCCCTGTGCTTCCACCCTCCAGGCTGGACTCAGGGGTAGTAGTCAGCGTGGATCCCTGTTACAGTCAGGTTAACAACTTGAGCATTACACTGGCCTTGCCACATAGGCTCAACTGGGAGCTTGTGAGGGGCCCGGCCTGGTCCCAAAGTGCCTCACACAGAGCTCAGCACAGGCGGGCTGCTCTGAAGGCAGATGGGACCTACCCTCAAGAGTACACAACACAGGCCCTGCTCAGAAAACTCTAAACTAAAACCAAACCAAACCCACTGCCATCAAGTCGATTCTTACTCATGGAGACCCCCATTGGGTTTCCAAGGCAGTAAATCTTTACAGAGTAGATTGCCCCATCTTCCTTCCACAGTTTGGCTGGTGGGTTTGAACCCCCAACCTTCTGGTTAGCAGACAAATGCCTTAGGCACTGCGCCACCAGAGCTCCTTCAGAAGAGACTAGTCATCCACTAACTGATAGCTTGTAGGGGCTGCACAGAAAGGATGGCCCTGAGGTACTGCTTGGCTGTGGGGGCGGGCAGCCTCTTGCTCAGCACACTCTCCTCCACCCCCAAGAGCCTACCGAGGAGGAGGGTCTGTCCGTCACCCAGTGGGAACCTCTGGTAGCGGGGCACACTGACAGGGGGCACCAGGTGGAACTTGGGCTCCAGTAGCGGCTCGAGCCGTGAGGCGGAGGGGTCTGCACAGTGGAAGAAGCTATAGACCTGGCTGCAGGCAGGACGGACCTGGAAACCTGTGGGAAGGACATATGAGAGAAGCCCTTCATAGAACCCTGCTCATCTGGCCCTGGAAGCCTTCCTGGAATGCAGCTTTGACCAGTCCACTCTTCTGCTGGAGAACCTCCCTTTTCCCCAGTCCACACGGTCCTTCTGTACAACACTCAATTCCCAGGCCTGTTAGAGCCTGTGGTTTGCCAGAGCCATCTGAACACTTCCCTCAGAGACCAGTAGATGTCTCCACCGAGGCCTCTCTGGCTGGCCCTTTGCCTTACCAGAGGGCCTCCCTGTCCTTCCAGGTCAGGGGACTGGACAGCCCAATGTCCATGAAGCCCTAAGGCTCCTTAGCAACAGTAAGAACAGCTGTGGGGCCAAGGCTAGGGAGCGGAGAGGGGCATGTGGGTTCTGTCTTTCTCCCTCATTTCAGACAAACCCTGCCCTTTTTATCTGTTCCGTATTGCAGATTGCTGGTAAGGTTTAGCTAAAAAAAAAAAAAAAAAAAA